TGGCGATTTTAATCATTGGTTTGCATATGTTGCGACACTTACTTTTTGTGATTTTGCAAAAATTTTAGATTGAGAGACACTTTAATTTTGTGTTTTTGAGGAAGACACAATTAATTTAATTTTTTATTTAATAAAATAAAACTACTTCATCTCCACATTATCACGTCAAAACTAAAAACTGATGCTAGTGGAACAGCATTGCAAAGAGCCACTGAATGGACGATTTGAGAAGAAGTGCTGGAGACAGAAAGCAGTAGTGATGAGGAGGACCAAGACATTGCCTCAGATAAGTTAAATATTCCAATTTGTACACATTTCAATCAGTAATAAACACATTTTCTATATTGATGACACATGTATGTCACTTAATTTTCACATCACATTATGTTCGCAAAACTTATTGTTCGCATCACTAAAAAAAAGGGTGAAATTCGTGAAATTAAAGTGTCGCAGAAATTTCATGTAATAAGGTACTGCTGAGAGCAGTGTTCCAGTCAGAAATTTCTGCTTGAGGGCCAAAGTGGCCCCTACAACCCATTTTTTGGGGCCAGTGAACCAGTATCTTTCTAATATGCAAAAGAGAACAGTTGGAAAGTTAAGGAAATAAAAATGGCAGTTTATTTGAAGCTGACATGGAGCGTCCCTCTTTATACACAATAGAGGAAATCTTCGGTAATAACGCAAACAGTAAAATCAGAATGTATGCAATAAAAATAGTAAGTAATTTTTTTCATCTCATTTTCCACTTCATTGTCAAAATCTGCTTCCTTTCGCTTCTTTTGGACTGCTTCGCCTCCATCCACTTTTTCGTTACTTACTGAGAAAAAACTTTCGATAGACCTCGAAGATGTGTTTGTCAGGTTCGTCCTTTTTCGAGATGCCATGATGGATACCAATTAGCTCCTGCGATATTACAAAAGCCAAGTAGAGGCTCAGTGGTCTCCAGGCCACTCACAGTAAATCAGGTAAACTCAAGAAGATTCATCTATTGATTTTCATGTTGTGTACAAAGGTACAGAGTCGTTGTTCTTTAGATAAAAAATTCTGTTTTATTGGAAAATTATTGTAGTTGAAGTAACAGAGACATTTTTAAGTCCAGGGAATTAAAGAAGGACGGGCCATAATGGCCCTGGAACGCTTTTGGTGGGGGCCTTCTCTCGATCTTTTGCGGGATTCACACAATGGCGCACTCTGGCTGGAACACTGTGAGAGTGAGGTGTGCTTATTTGTGCTTTATTGTATACATACTGTATACAATGCTTTTGTTAAACGATGCTTATTTCTCTTAGACTTTGTTGTGATTTACAATAGGGTGAGTATATTTCTATTTCAGTAAACTGTAATAAAAAATTTTGAAGTCTGTCTTCAGATTAACTGTCTGGTTGCAACAAACCAAGGACTCATTATGTTTCTGGACTGGGACTCATGATTTTTCACATAATAACGGGTGTTGTCAGAGCCTGATTGCTGATCGATGAAGTTCAGGCATGATTTTGCATCGTTATTGGCCATGCCAATCGATGCCAATTAACAGCAATTAATAGACATTTTTAACGAGAGTTTCATCGATTGTCCAGGCACTATGTTTTGAGAGGACTTTTAAGAAAACAACAAATTAATTATTTAAACTATTCTCTTCCACTGCTACCCAAGCTTCATCTTGGTCAATGGCAATAAAAGACGTCCAAATGAATAAGAAAAACAAATCACGACTCTTTCATGACATGTCTCAATAAGAAAGTCCGTTAATTACATTACTGGAATCCTTTCGAGGTCTGGACTAAAGCAATATAATTATTTCTAACTATTTTAATTCAAAGAATCAGGACTTCTTAATCCCCTTTGAATATTATAGTCTGTGTAGATTACTTCTTTCTGTGAGCTTAAGGACTTTAAGCTATGAAATACTGGTAATATATCAATCTGAGGGGCAAAAAGTTGCGATGCAATGTAGAATTTGTAATTCATAGTTTTCCTGGGTTTTTATAGTACAAGTCACATGTAAACGAAAGATCCCATAAAATACTAGCCACTGTTCGCTGGAAAAATTGCTGAATACAAAGACAAAATACTTACGAGTCATTCTGTAAGATTCCAAAAGGAAAACGTTGACGATAACAAGCGGTAGCAAAATGCGAGCAAACAACAAATATCTATCACGAACGATCGCGAACAAAATAAACCTTTTCGATGTACTTAGGAACCGAGCCTTTTTTGTGAAATGTATCCCGTGAGCGCCTTCGAACAAACACTGCAGTAACTGATCATGGTAAGGCGCGGAGATGAGGAAGTAAACAAAAGAATACATGTAAGACCCGAAAATTGATATATAAAAAAATTAAATAAATATTTTTTGTTTTATTCTTTTGTTTACATACTCATCGCCTTGCCGTAAGGATTAGTTTGCCGAGCTTACATGCGTTGAGTGTACAGCTGAACCGTCACTAGAGCAACTATGCTAACAGTTCCTCAGGTTATTTTAGCTCTTATGGTCCTTGCTACTCTTGCTGTTGCCCACCTGTTTCGTGGGTATGTGAACTACAAAGTGCAAGCTACGATAAGATTTTTGAAAGACTGGAAGCAATCCAGAGGCCGACTGCGAGAAACTGGAAAACCGATAGAGAATGATGAGATCTGCTTTCACGGACTCCAGCGCAGACATAAAGAACCACAAGAGAATGATGAAGACTCATACATAGTTCACTAGCTATAGCGGTAGGTATTATCTTGAAAAGTTTTATATAAAACGAAGGGTAGCAAGGATACAGGGGCACCCAACGGCAATTTTCGTGAAAATATCTGTTCGGAAGACGATTTGAGATCTAGAATTTTCGGAGCATTTGTTGTAAAATTTCTTGCTTGGCTTTGCTTGCCTGACTCTCCTAGGGTTTTCGAACATCTGCAAAATGGTATAATTACTCATTTTTAACGGATTTTGACCCTAAAAAAGGCCACCTAGAATTTTCGGGAGCCTTTTCCTGGATGAAATTTTCGAGAAGGTAAGTTTTGATCCCTATAATTTTCGGATCACTAGATTTTCAGCTGGGAAATCCGAACAGATGAAAAGTTTTTAGGGGATAAAAATATGCCTATATCTACTGTCTGAATACTAACATACGTTCAACAATGATATGTTAAGTAGTTTTGAACTATATCCTCGTTGGGTGCCCCTGAGGATATTATTCGGCCCATGACAACTCACACCAGTGTCATATATCCTTCACTTTTAGCGGACGATATGAACTTGAAAAGTATTCCATGTGAAAAAGGGCGGCAAAAAGGGCCGGGTGTGATAGAGCCAATAGCACTGATCTACCTCGCTGTCATCCTCACTTGGTCAATTTTAGCTGATCTCGGCCGATCGGTGTTTCTCATAAGTAATTAAAATGTGCTTGGCTTGGCAGAAAAAATAGTCACTCAGAATTTCAAAGTCCAACCTTAAAAACCACCACTATACACTTGCAAAATTCCTTATCGAAAGTGTATGTAAACTCGTGACAACTGCGGATCAGTCTCATTTAACTGGTCACGAACGAATAAAAGCGCTCAGAGGAGAACAAAACACGCATTCTATTCTGTAATAATAAAGGTTTTAATAAGTAAATACTCAGGATGGTTCAAATTCAGTCATTGTTTTTAATTTGGCTAAAACACTTGCCAAGTATAAAACAGAAACGTATGGGGGACTTTGCGTGTCCGACGAGACTAAGATCGTGAAAATGAAATTACAATTCCCGGTAGTTCAATTCTGACAAAGCGAAAATCATTAAGCATTGACTGACCGTGTAAAAGCTGTTAGTTTATACCATTTTAGTTTTTAAAACTTACATTCAAGGGCAACGAAAACTCCTTTTCTTTAATGAGTAAATTTATAGTGTGAAAGACAGTCTTCAGAGAGTTTTCTGCCCAAAACAATATTGAAAAATTCCACACATACCTCCGGCCAAGTCCGGAATTCGTAATGTTTTATTTACGTGTAACCCTCTGTTTATTTCCTCTTATTTTCAGGATAAAATAGGAAAATGCCCTGAACACTGATGACTCCCTGTCCAGTTTCTTGTGATAAAATTAATTCAGCAATATTAACGAGAACGAAAGAGGAACACCATTGAGAGACGCGCGTTTTTGCATCATTTGTTTGTTACAGTTCTCACGGAAAGCAGTTTCAGTATTCCCTTGCGTTCTTGCGTTGGTTAATTTTAAGTAATTAAAAAAAAGGAAAGTTATATACAAACGTATGGTTAGTGTCACTTCGGCCCTCGTGTTTGTGACTCTCAAATGTTTAGTTTGATCCACGCTTTTTCGGGTTACAATAATTGAAATAATAGTAAAGTAAAGACGAAATGTGATTGGTAGAGAAAGACAGCTCTATTCAGTTCTATATTGCTGATCCTACGGCAACACCAAGTCCAGTTTCTCTTCGCTGTTGTTTTATCCAAATATTCATTGTGCGCAAGATCATGTTCACAGTTTTCTGTAGCACAAATGTCCGAAATGTTTACGGATACTGAAACGCCCACCAGGCGTGCGAGAGTCGGTCCTACCCATGCGTACATGAGAACGGATCCAAGGAACCTAGTACACTTTGTATCTTAGCCCTATTTCTTTTCATTTCTTGAAGAGGCCTGTCTGAGCACCTTTGGTCGGCATTTCAATTCAGTCAAAGAAACTGGAGAACTAAAGTTAGAATGAGCATGCAATCCGGCATACCACGTATCCTGCCTTTTCTCCTCGCTCTTCGCCGCTGGGGGCATACCACGCATAAAACCTCTTATAAAGTCCAGCACTTCGGCTCAGGGGCGAGTCCCACGATTTCAAAGAAGCTCACCCATGGTGACGCAACTGAACGTCTACCAATGCAAAGTCCAACGGTTTTTAGTGAAGTGATTGTTTTATAAAACGACTATTATATTATTACTTCCGATTAGCAGCTTCCACAAAAACAATTGTAAACTTGTTTCAGAGACGGCTTACGCCAAACTTACTTCGTCAATTGCGCTTTAAACGTTGAAAAAGTCATCTAGCAAGCCTTCCTTTTCCTTATCTTCGTTGCAAATATCTCTTAGATGACCCACATTTTGGTTTAAATAGAACATGTCCTTAGCTGGAACACTACCGAGTACACAAAAATTCATATCCGCGCACTCTGTTAGCATCGTCGTGTATGCGATGTCAAAACGTGAACTTTCATCCTGGCACCGGATATTTAGGTTTTGCGCAAGTACTCCAATGAATACATCATCAATGTGAATCATTTTTGTCTGAAAAAGGGAAGAAAAAAAGATAGTTTTAGCCCTTGTCCAGATTTGTTAAATGAATCTCTTTGTATGGAAACGAATCCCTAGAGCTGCCCAAATTGGTAGGATTACAGTCTTAAAGTGAATAAGCTTCATTTATTTGGGTGTACGTAACTGGGGTTTAATTTCAATACTGTAATAGACTGGGGTATGAGGAATTTAGTCTAAAATGGGAAAAAAGCGTTGGAACAGTGAAGGAACACTGGCAACCATATTATAATACAAAGGGCAGGTTGAAACATATTTGGCTTAATAAGGCCGGAGTTTTTATCCAGCGGTAATCTAAAGGTACAAGATAAACAAACTGCCCGCCTCTCTTCTCACTCTAAGACCAAGACAGAAATAACAGTAATCATCATCATCATCATCATCATCATCATCATAGCAATTCGTTCTTAAGGAATCGTAAAAAATGAGTCAGGAAATAAACAAATAAACAGATAATGCTCAAACATTTGTTCTGTTCAATAAAAATTCTGCTTTCAAGAGGGATGGCACCACCGCTGTATCGATGGCCGACAATATTCCCTATCAGGAGCCGATTACTTAATCGGCTCCTGTCCGTAGTAATGGCAATGGTGGCAACTTAATGTAAACACAAGCAAAAACACAATATAAACACCGGCAAATATTGTCTGAAGAACGTACCCTTATAAATTTCTTCAAGATGCTTTTTTAGCGTTCCACCCCCGATCAATGAACCACAAGAAGAATTTATTCAGTAGTCACGGTTTTCGGTTCAGTATGGCTTGGAATTTGAGTCAGTTTGTTTGCTATTTGGATGGATGTATTATTTTCTTAAGGCTGGTTTCCACTAGCGATGGAGTTGGAGTCGGAGTTGTAAGAGCGCTTATGGCCTGATGAAAATCAAAAATCGGAGTCGTAAGCGGAGTCAGAAGCGCGATAGAATCGGAATCAGAATTGGAATCAGAACGTCTCCTTTTTCTTCCGACCCCGCTTACGACTCCGTCGCTTACGTTCCGCTTATGATCTAGAGAAAACCAGATTGTTGGAGTCGGAAGCAGAAGAGGGAGGATAAACCAATCGCAATACACGTTCCCACGCCTTGTGATTGGTTAAGCTCTTCCGTTTCTGCTTACGATTCCGACGACCCAGTTTTCACTTGATCGTAAACGACGGAGTCGTAAGCGGATCCAGAAGAATCAGAACGCTGTTTTCACTAGATCGTAAAGTTCTACGCTTCTGATTATGACTCCGACTCCGACTCCGACTCCGACTCCGACTCCGACTCCGTTATTAGTGAAAAACAGCCTTTAACCAGTTAAATTTATTCAGTGACGCGAATTGTATTGGGTCTCCCGCCAAATGTATTACAAATATACAAATGTATGCAAGGCACTGCTGATATAGCTTGACATTCTGCGGGGGTATAGGCACAGTTTTCCAAAACGATCCTGGCTACCCTGTCTAACAACTCGTTTTTCACGCGGTGACGTGAATAAATTTCCTTTTCAGTCAGTGTTATTCGGGCGTGCAGAACACTGCAGAAGTTTGTTCTGAAAAAGAATATCTTATAAGGAGTTAAAAGTTATAGCAGAGTTATGTAAACAATCGTCAGCTGCCCCTTATTTTATTCTATTCCTTGGCTAAATTTAACTATATGGTTTTGTTTTAGGTGCAATCGCCCCTGATCTGATTAGTCGTTAAACGTCACAGCTGTGTTAACAATTATTAAATCAATCAATTAACAAGGTGTGTGCGGAGAAAGGCCTGAAACGTTAAAATTTATGTATTTTTATGGATAAAACGAGAAGTCAGTCAGACCTCAGCTCTGTCAGCTTGCGGGAAGCCGACTAAGTAGTAGAATATATATAAGCCTTACCTCTCTCACAAGCTGAACCATCCTCTCTGCAACATCTCGAGAGAGGACAACACCAATTCCTGACCCGTAAGTGGGAAGCCGTTCGTCCGACCATTGATTTTCTGGTATGAAATAGGGGCTCAGCGGATTTCTAACCACTGCGACTCCCGAATGACAATACCCAGTGTAAACGTCTTTCTTATACTGCAAAATGTCACCGGTTGAGTCGCTTAGTGAATGAAGCCATTTGATCGTTTCTTGGACATTAACAAAAGAGTCCGAGTTTACTTTTAAAATATATTGTGAATTGCTCATAGTAGTTGCCCATTTAAGTCCTAAGAGGATCTTCACTGTATGCAACTCATTCTGAACATACGTGTCTAGAAAATTTCCACGCAAAATGTCGCTATACGTTTGCGACTCTTTTTCGACTCGCTCGTCGCTAACTTCGTCGCAACCGACCACGAAAAATAATCGAAAGGAGTCTTGGTTTGAATTAGAACCCGAAGTACTCTTTCCCCAAGACGCTCTTATGGCCTTGCGCGCCTCGAAGTTCTTGCTTGTCGAGACCACGATGATAACCAGAAAAGCGTCGTTGTCGGAGCCGGAGGGGCTAAGAAACATCGTTCTTTCTTTAAATGATGGTGGATACGGAGGTAGTGTTGGACGAGGCGGTGGAAGGCTATCTTCGGCTTTAGCGCTTTGCACGGGAAGAGTCTCATTTTTTACGTTCTCTTTTATCTGGTGTAGATCGGTAATTTCTTTGTTTTTCTGGTCTGATTCAGGTGATGAGCAAATTAACAGTGTGACAATGCTACCGGTTATGAAGGACGCTACGTTAACCAAAATGGCCTTAGTACTCCGCAAACGCATAATCCCTCACTAAGATATGTGGTTATAAACAATCACCACCGGTCTCCTCACAGATAGAATTGCTTCTGCTGTTCTTGCATTTACTGTAAGATTTGTATTCGTTTAGGGTAACTTAAGTGGAACCATCACAAGCCTGCCACATCACAATTTGCTGGAAAACGTATTACTTAAAAGGAATCACGTATGAAAATTATTGTTACTGAACTACCAAAATAAAGTCATAATTCAGTTGCTCGGAAACATTATGCGTCAAGGAAAGAATGCGAAAAAAGATATCAATAAAAAGTCAGGATTCAAATAACCTTTTAAGATTCAGCCCCCAAATATTGATTAATTTAAAGATGTATTTGAACAGCAGTCAATGCCTTTCATACGGAACATTTCTCGTTTGGCGACTTTTCTAATTTGGAATATTAGTTGGACACACATCTAGGGCCGTAGCTAACTGTAACGTTACCTGTACGTACGATCGCACGTGCGTACCTGAAAAAGCTGAAGTTAAAAAAATAATAATAATGATTGTAATGAATAAAATATAAAGATAATGGTGAAAAGCAAGTAAGTAAAATAAAAGAGGATTATTTTAAAAAGCTGCCCATTTTGTTTCAATTGATCAAACCGGCTCTGGTTGTGTCTTTGAATTGTTTTTTTTTGTAAAACAACGGAATGTTTTTTTTGCCACACCCAACTGTCGCTTTCCAATCTCCAACGAAGCGACGTGATGAATTGGTGCACCGAATCTTGAACGATATATTTAGGGAAAAGGTGGCCTGTCTTCGAAGTGGACGAAGATTGACATGATTACGTCAAAGTACGGTGCCTTTATGCGGTCAAACACAATTATGTGGGGGTCCTCTCGATGCATGGGATTTGGCTATATTTTGTGTTGGTCAGTACTCGGTATGCGAGCTAAGACGGGAACGGGAAAAGGGAAATTGATTAACATGCGGCCGTGAGATTCCCTGATTTTATGGGGATGGGATTTGAGAATCGTAAGGACTGAAAAGTAGCAAATACGGAAATTCAGTTTTGTCGCGGACCCGGAGATCAAATATAGGCCTATTGATCTCAGCTCCTAATCACTGTAATCAGTGGATTTGTGGTTGCGTTGTATTCATTATTAAAGCCTTCAAATTTATATATTTTTGCACTTAGAAGTTAGTCTTTTAGAAGTTTACCTCTTTTGTAAGATATGATCAGGGCTTTTTTTGTGCCTAGGAGGGTAACAACTTATTTACGTCATTTCATAGACAATAAAAACACTTAGGCTTAAAGGTAGTTTCATTTCTCATCAAGGCACCTAACTAAGGGCCGGGGGGACGGGGATTTGGAGAATTGTGGCTACGTCTGGAAAAATCCTGGCTACACCCCTGACATCGTGAATACACTTTCTCCGGCTGTATCAAATTCGGACTTGAATTATATTACTTGGTGAAATGATAACTTACTTCTAAGGATACGATAATAAAAAGAGTGCCCTATCAAAATATTTTTAGATAATGGATTATACAATAAAAGAAATACTCGAAAATGCGCTGTACCACGTGGAAATAAGTACAGATCTTTTCTACTAAAAAGACGAAATCAAAATTCATAGCTCATAGTGAAACATATATATCTAGCCGAATTTTTGAAAACATACCTCAAAACGCACCAGAATATCCGCACAGGAACCTGAGCTAACTCGCCATGGGTTGTGAATGGGCCCCCATGTCAATCCCTAGCGGGGGGAGGGTGCTGCAAAAGCGTGGTACTGTCCGTCCGTCTTGCTCTGGGAGAGTCGGTGCACTGGTCATGTCTGCCTTTGGTTTGTCATATCAAATTCTTTTAATGTTTGAGGCCCATTCGCCAATGAAAGCATTCCCCTCGAGCACGTGCTAGGCTGAATGGTGGCGGCTCAATCTGGGTTTAGAGCCTTCGTTACCATTCGACGGAACGAGATTCCGGGGCCCGTGGATTCATACGCGGAGCTTTTTGTTATGCGCGATATGATAGCCATTATCAAAGCAGCAGGCCTAGGCACTGTGTATAAAAGAAGATTTTTTTTTCAAAATATTTCTCCGTTCCTAATTAGGTCAAATGCCCCGGCTAATTCTTCATAAAACCAACTAGCTTTTACCAAATTTGAAAGACGTTGAGATAACAGGTTAAACTCACTTGAATAATAAACAATTATTGGATGCATTTTTTGTGATATCCGTAATAATCGAGAGAATCGACGCCGCGTTATCAGTGTTATCAGCCGAGCCGAAGGCCGAGGCCGGATAACACTTACCGAGACCTTGATTATTCCGGCTATCACAAAAAAATCTAATAATGTTTTCAATACATTGTTTTGAAATAAATAACGAAAAATACGTACATCGTCGCACGAAACCGATTTGACATTGCTCTTGGAAATCATGTATTGCGCGCGCAACCTACAGATTTATCTGCTAGCAGATAACTAACTAATCTGTATAGGTTGCGCTGATTTCCAACATTAACTGTAAGCTCTTAACCAGAAAGAAGATAGATAGTGTGTACAATGCATAATAACAAGAGACTATAAAGGGGACAGAGAGGCCATCCGCCATATACACCCTATTCCATAGGTAATTCGTCTCGAGTTATTTTTAACACCACAGATCTCAAGGGGGATTAGACAACAGCCAATCACATAGCGCGAATGTGTTCCGCGTGGATGACCCACGCTGAGAGCCACGCGTCCTTCACGAAATGACGCAGAACAAAATGGGGGAAGACGCGGAGAGCGATTTTGCTATTCCTTTTGTCGACGAAAACGACTACAGCGAGATTTCTGCGAAAGCTGTGTCAGCGAAACCGAAATTAAAAAAGAATCGCCCTTCCTCTCTTGTATAGAGCTAACAGTAGAGCAGGGAAATCCTTAACACACTGAATATTCTCTCAGGATCATTTATAATTTACAGTTTGAAGAGAGCAATTTCTGGTTTGATGTTTATTTTTTTCAGTCTTTATAGCGATTATTCCTACCCACTTACTTTGTCAATTGTAGGCGAACCCTCCTAAAGCTGAATTTCAAGGGACCATATTCAAGCTCAGAAAGAGAAATAAAATTTCGTCGTTGCTTATTTACGTCCTCCATAAAACGCGAAATTAGGCATTTTCACGTCGTAGTCGTGCAAAAACGGGAAAGAAATGAACAAAAAAGTGTGTTGCACGTGCGAAGTTGTTGTTTTGCTAATTAAACCTATTGTTTTTTTGACGTTCTAGTTGTCGTCCGCGTCGTTGGATCTTAAACTCCCTAAATTGTACAAACGACCGGTTTCAATAGACCGGCGAAATTTCTCATTTTATTAAAGCACTGAGGTTACGACAACTTCGAGTTAAACTGATTTCACGGGTTGTCAAAGAGTCCAGCGATTCCTTTTTCCCAGGTGAGCGCCGACTCATTTCGCTTCAATATTCAGGAATGCTCTCGATCTTTTTACGCTTTCATTGCCTCTCGCCCGACATGTTTTTCACGGCGTTTGGTCATGCGAAACCTCCACGAAACATCCACGCCTCGCGCGAGGTAACTTTATCCCGATTCTAAAAATAACTCGAGACGAATGACCTATGGAATAGGGTGTATATGGGGGATGGCCTCTCTGTCCCCTTTATAGTCTCTTGATAATAATTAATGCAAGCTATCGCCAGAAAAAGGTGCTACAAGCGAGGGCCTGGGAAAGAGGTTGTGTTGGCTTAGGTTTTTTTGATCGTATAGATGGAGAAAACGGGGGAGCGACGCAGCGCCGGCGCTTCCCTGTATATAGTGTCCCCCGGGATTCGGACTTCCTGCGCTGTAAGTTCACTTCTAGTTAATGCCCTCTGTTGAAGACACGATTTTTCTCAACTGTCAACATTTTATGATTTTCTTCACCCCTTTTGAAAACTTATTTGGATTTATTATTCTTATGTCACTGTTCAAACATTTAGTCTTCCTTTTTGTATGGTTCTGAGTGCTGGAAAGTGACGAAAGGAGATACGATAAAGGTAGATGTCTTTCATAGCACAGCTGCCACCGTAAGATCTGCAATATCTACTACGATGGTCCAACAAGATGACTAATGAGAAACTGTACAAGAAGACGGATCGGACAGCATGAAATACGTTTCTCGAGATTAAGAACAGCAGGCTCTGATGGCTTGGCCATGTCCCTATAAGGATGTCTAACGAAAGGACGCTTAAAGTAGCCATAGGATGCATAGACTCCAACTTAGCCTGTTCCAAGCGTTCAGATAGTGGGGAGCGGTGCGAAGTAAAGAAAGCAATGAAAAGTAGAGGGGGACTGGGGAGAGCCTCCTCCCTCGCTTTTATTTTTTCGCGCTCCTTTTTACTTCGCACCGCTCCCCACTATCTGAACGCCTGGAACAGGCTAACTCCAACTGGGAAAAGGAAATAAAGAGAGGGCCGGCCAAAAACAACCTGGCGGAAGAACAGTAATGAAAGAGGTGAGAGGAGATGGGTCTAAAATGGAGCGAAGGGCAGGCCAAAGCTCAGGACAGAGGTCCGCGGCGAAGTTTAATTGTGGCTTTGTCCCTGCCGAGATGAAGAGGTTGAGTGACAGAGTGAGTTTAATCGTTTTAAGTGTTGGAAGTGCAAATGAGAGTGAACCGTTAAATCAAAACCCCTGACCCTTGATTAAACTTTTCACAACCCCCGAGAAAGAAAAAACAAAAATTCCTTATCTAAATGCTTTACCCCATATCTGACTCTCTTAACTGAATAAAGCAGTAAAGTTCTTGATTAGTTCCAAAAAAGAAAACTGAATATGTATGACACTCAAACCTGGTGTAAAGAAAGGTGTGTATTTGTTGATTCAATATTTGGGTAGCCTGTTCCAGACGTTCAGATCGTGGGGACGGCGCAAATAGATGTGAGCAGAAAAAAAAAAAACAGCGATGGGCCTGTCTCATACTTCGCGCCTTACCCCACTATCCCAACGCCTGGACTCAGGCAGGCTAATATTTGGATAAAGATGTACAAGAGTTAATTTT